AGCTAAATCCCCAGCCCCAAGATTGAAATTTTAGAAAATAAAAAGGCTAGGCATAGTAGCACACGCCTGTAATCCTAAACTTGGAAGGCTGAGGCAGGACGATCTCTGCAAGTTTAAGGCCACTCTGAGCTATATAAAGAAAACTTTCTACCATTCTGTAACTCAGGCATTAGCCAGAGCTCACTAAGTACTTTCTGTTTTAATATGAACTTTGTGTTTTAAGAGCTTATTGTGAATAGTTGACGTGAAAACTAGGTATCTTTTAACCTGGTAAATTTGAGTAAGACCACTGTCACCACTCAAGTCATAGGACCTCAGTGGAAATGGCCATTAGAGAGTGAAATGTAGAATAGATTTTTAGAAATTCGTATGCAATTCAAAAAGAAATTTTGGGTAATTTTAACCTCCTGTTACCGATGGATGGTCTTTCTCCAGGCATTCCTGGAGGTCTTCTGAATTTGGAGCTGTTTAGTACATAGTGATCACTGGCATGCCCAGCACTAGGATGCTTTATCGTAGTACCTTCAGGTTTTGCTGTGGTCTCCAGGCAGGTACTGCTCCGTCCCCGTCTTCCAAGGGAAGTCAGTAAAACGGCTCAGAGACTCAGAGTGGTATGTGTCCTCCGTGTCTCAAGTATCTGAGCCCACGCAAAGCCTATCTTTGCTGAAAGCCCGTCCTTTAAACTCCGTAGTCTGCCAGTGAAGAAACAGGAAAAGCAGATGCACAGACTTGTGCTGGATGTTAATCTGCCTGTAAAAAAATTAAAGTTTCTCACTCCCTTTAAAAGTCACCTCAGAAGAGTTTAGGCACAAAGGAAGCTGCTCCTGTTCTCTCCAGTTTGAGCTTTGACCGTCTTTAAGAAAAGGAGAGAAGTGAGACGTCCTTGCCGGATTGAGATGGTTCCTTCAAGGATCAGAACTTTAGCGAAGCACTTACACTGTGTGGTGGACACAGTCCTAACCCACATTATAGCGCACCTGCTCGCTGCCTCCCGTGTACCGAGCATAGTTACACATTTCTGACGGACTCCGGTTAAAATTCCCATCGCACTGCTGTGCGCCGATGACCTTAGCGGTCACGGAGTGTAGCTGAGCTGTCCTCCACCCAGGACTCGCACACGGCCTGGACTTGGAGCTCGTCTGTCTGTGTCGTGATGTTAGATGACCTCCTTCACTGTCTGTCTGCCACTTCTCTTATGCTGCTGGGCCCACGTTATTTTATTCTAAGCTGCTGTGGGGTAGGAAATCAAAATAATTAGCATTGCTTACATGAAAGACGAGTAAGTTGAGTCCGAATGAGGCCAGAGGGGATCACGTGTGTGCCCCTAACACGAGCGTAGTTGTGTTTATATACTGCTGTGTTACACGTTTGCAACAAGTAGATGAAATTGTGGGACAGCTTGCATCATGTTTAACATTTCCCCCTTTTCACAACAGAGAAGAAGATACAGAAAATGAAAACGAAAAGAAAATCTGGTACTACAGCACAAAGGTCCAGCTTGCAGAATTAATAGACTGTCTAGACAAAGATTACTGGGAAGCAGAGCTTTGCAAAATTCTAGAAGAGATGCGTGAAGAAATCCACCGGCACATGGACATAACTGAAGACCTGACCAATAAGGCTCGGGGCACTAACAAATCCTTTCTAGCGGCAGCTAATGGTGAGGGGGAGCTTTTCTCACTTTATTTTTGTTAAATTTGAAATCTCTACAAAACATGAGCATGTATTAAGATGTCCAAGCTATGTATATTTTACTTTATTCTCTATGTTTTATTTTCCCAGAATAACTTCACTGTAAGCTAGGGCTGCCATACATTTCAGTGCTTTGTTTCTTGCTCTGGACATAGCCAGTATTCTCCACCTTGTTTGTTTGTTTGTTTATTGGCCTCACACGTGAGGCCAGCATTCTGTCACTAAACTGTACTCTCCAGCTGCAGTTGTACTTTCAATTACGAGAATTATATTCTCACCAGGCGTAGTGGCGTACTGCTGTAATTCCAGTACTTGGGAGGCTGAGACAGGAGAATTGCTGTGAATTCAAGGCCAGCTTGGGCTACATAGTTCAAGGCGAGTCTGAACTATATCCAGAGACCATGTCTCAAAAAAAGCTAGGCCTGGTAGGACACACCTGTCATCCTAGTACTTGGGAGACCGAAGCAGGAAGATTGCCACAAGTTTAAGGCCAGGGCTTGGGCTACATGGTGAGTTCAAAGTTAGCTTAAACTACATAGTATGAGCCTGTTTCAAAAAGAGAAAAAGAAGAAAAAGAAATGATAAGTCATACTCTCTCTGAACTTATTCCTTGCTTTCTTTTTTTTTTTCCCCTGGGTACCGGGAATCGAACTCACGACCTTGCGCTTGCCAGGCAGGCAGTGCCGCTGAACTAAATCCCCAGCCCCTTGCTTTCTTTTTTTAAGAATAAAACCTTTAATGTTGCAATAGTTTTAGATTTATAGAAAAATTGCATCGCTCAGTGGTAAAGTGCTTGCCTAGCATGGAATTGAGCTTGGCTCAATTCCCAAAAAGGAAGGAAAGGAAAGTGGTGAAGCTGATGCAGAATCCCCACAAACCCTTTCTCTTGTGTTAGTTTAGTAGGTTCTCAGAGCAGGTGAACCAGTATTGATACGTTGTCATTAAGCAAAATTCATACTTGATTTAGATTTCCTTCTTTTTCTTCTTTGTTTTTTGAGTCTTGCTCTATAAGTCAGGCTGGTGGCCAGGCATGGTGGTGCACACCTGTCATCCTAGCACTTGGGAGGCTGAGGCAGGAGGATCGTTGGCGAGTTTGGGACCAGCCTGGGCTATAGTGTGAGTTCAAGGCCATCCTGAACTGCATAGCAAGACCCTGTCTCAAAGACACAAAAACAAAAACAAACAAACAAAACAAAACAAAACAAAAAACTATGTAGCCCAGGCTGGCCTCGAATGCACAGTGATCCTCCTGCCCAGCCTCCCGAGGGCTGGGACTACAGGTGTGCACCATCATGCCTGGCAGATTCCCTTACTTTTTAACTAATGTCCTTTTTCTGTTTTATGGTCTCATCTGGGGTATACCACATTATATTTAATTATCATGTCTTCCTCGAGACTGCCAGTTTCTCATAGTTTCATTGTTTTATTTTGGTTTGGTTTGGTTCTTTTGAGACATCGTCTCACTATGTAGCCCAGGATGGCCTTGAGCTCACAGCAGTCTTTCCGCCTCAGCCTCCCAAGTGCTGGTCCTGGCGCTTTCGTTGTTTTTGATGACTTGACAGTTTTGAGGAGTCCTGGTCTAGATTTTGGAGAATGCCCCCAGTAGGGTTTTTCTATGTTGTTCTGATGTTTAGCGTGGGCATCTGGATGTCGGAGAGGACGACTGCAGAGGTGGAATGCCACAGTCACTCTCACGCCAAGGGCACATGCTGTCGTCACGACTTCCACTGTTGACCTTGGTCGCCTGGTGGAAGTAGTGTTTGTCCGTTTCGTCACTGTACAGTTCCCCGCCCGTCCCGGCTCCTCGGCCGTCACCGCTGTGCTGCACGTGCGGAAGGAAGCCGTCAGGCCTGAGCCGCGCTCACAGGCTGGGGTTTGTGCTCAGCCTCCTCGAGGGAGCGGGATCTGCGCAGGTTATTTGGGGTTTTTCTGCACAGCAGATTTGTCTGTTCTCTATTCAGGCATTTATCTCTATCAGCATAGATTCGTGTGTATTTATTTTATACTTTCGATTATAACACAATACGACCTTATTTTGTTGCTTAACACTTTTTTTTTTTTTTTTGGTCTTTTTGAGACAAGTTGTACCTGTGCAGTTCAGGCTGGCCTTGAGCCTTGAGCTCACTTTGTAGCCCAGGCTGGTCTTGAACTTGCAACGATCCTCCTGCCTCAGCCTCCCGAGTGCTGGGGTTACAGGCGTGCGCCACCATGCCTAGTAGTGTTGCTTAACTCTTTGATTTTCTTTTTATTATTATTATTTTGTTATTATTATTATGGATTGAAGTAGAGGCTTTGGACACTAAACACTAGACTCTACCACTGAGCTGCATCCCAACCCCCTGTTTATTTATTTATGTATTTATTTAGAGACAGGGTCTTGCTGTGTAGTCCAGACTGGCCTTGAACTCACTATGTGGCCCACACTGTCCTCAAACTGGCAGCAATCTCAGCCTCCTGAGTGCTGAGATTACAGGCGTGTGCTACCATGCTTGGCTCTCTCTTTTTTTAAAAGCAGTATGATAATAGCATGGTTCATAAACACTTCTGTTTGGAAATAAATCGTTGTGCAAAATTTTTCTTCCATTTGCAAACTCCACACCAGGTGACAAACATGACCCCAGGCGTCTTCCCCACACGAACATAAACGTAGCAGTCTTCCCCCAAATCGTAAAACAAAGTTTGCAAAACGATGTGTACTCTAAATACATACGGTATTTTTGCTTTTGTTTTTGTTTTTGTTTTTTTCCAGTACCGGGAATTGAACTCACGACCTTGCGCTTGCCAGGCAGGTGCTGTGCCACTGAGCTAAATCCCCAGCCCCTACATATGGCATTTTTTAAAAGCTTACATAGTACAGAAGGATATGCAGTGAAAAGTGGATCTCTCCCTTGTAAATGCAGGGAATTGAACCTGGGGCCTCATGCATGCTAGATAAATGCCTTAGCACTGAGCTGAGTTGCAGCTCCTAGTGTCCATACCTTCCTTTTTACAGAGACAAGTATTATTGCCAATTTTTCATCCTGATAGCTACATTCTATGCATACTTTAAAAATAATCACAGCCCCCCCCCCAAGAGTGCCTTTCATTTTTAATTTAGATAAAGTGAACTGTCCTTTGGGTTTAAATGGGGAGACCTGGACCTCAAATATTACATATATATTATTTCACATTGAAATTGCTGTCCTTTAACTGTTTTAGATATTCATATAATTATTGTAATCACTGGCTCTTCCCCTCCCTCCCTGTGCTGGGGTCAAACCGAGAGCCTGGTAAGCAAGCGCTCTAGTCTCTGAACTTTTTTGTAGTACTGAGGATTGAACCTAGGGCCTTTGAACTGAGTTACATTCATAGCCTTTTTTAAAATTTGAAACAGGGTTTTGCTAAGTCACTTAAGTTGCCCAGGCTAGGTTCAAATTTGTAATCCTCCTGCCTCAACGCATTTCTGGGATTATAAGTGTGTGCCACCCGTGGTTTAGACTGAATTTTTGTTTTGTTTTGTTTTGTTTGAGACAAGGTCTTACTACGTAGCCTAGGCTGGCCTTAATCTTGCTGTGTAGCCCAGGCTGGGCTCAGACTTGCAGGGATCCTTCTGCCTCAATCTCCTGAGTGCTTCATTCACCACCATGCCTGGCTAGAGTGTGAAGTCGTACAGTAAGTAGGGTTAGGCAGGATGAGCGAGAAGGGTGTGGGGAACTAGCTCAAATACAGTCACTTTACTAGAAAGATCACTGTTTTCTGATGGTGATTTACGAGATGTGTGTTGTTCTTCTGTGGCGCTAGGGATTGAGTTTAAGGCCTCAGGCATAGTAGGAAATGCTCTATCACTAACTATTAGACCCCCAACCCCCTACAAATTTTTTTCTATCCTAAGAAACAGGTAGATATCTACAATTTGGGAAATAATAGACTAAAATGAAAGTAGAGAACAATTAATGGAAATGAAAAAAAGGAAATCCAAAATGTAAAAAGAAATGGGTACACATGGCCTCACAAATGTTTCTTCTTATTCCTCAACATTGTAGTGTATTTGGTAAGCTTACTTCTCATGGGGATACAGTTTAGCAATTTTGAAACTCCATCATGTGTACTAGGATTGAACAGATAAGTAGATATGCTGCACATAATAACAGTTACACTTCTCGGTATCAGAGAAAGTAGTTACAAATTAGCAGGAAGATACAGATGGACAGACATACGTACCCCCATGCACTGATAAATATGGCAGTAATGTACATCTGTACATGCATGCGTTAGGGTACAGACACATTTTCTAGCTGTGTTGTCTGAGAAAGCCTGGAAATACCAGTACTTCAGGAGTAACAGTCACACCTAGGACATCATGACTTTTAACCATTTTGCAATCAAAGGACCTTGGAGAGGTAGCAGATTCTAGGGCTGGGGCAGGGGATAATATGAGGTAGCCTGGAGCACATTGTAACGCCAGAAAAAGTGCTGAATGAGTGAGTGGATAGATGAGCCATGTGAAAAGTTCCCAGTGACCAAAGCTGCAACAGTTTGAGCAACAGAATAGTGCTGGCCTTAGATTACGGTTAGCATTCGTGTGTCCGCGCTGATTTACCCTGTGGTCTGCACCGTGTGGTATTTTCTGTGTCCTGTGGTGTGAGTCTAGTCAGCTTGCAGTTTCTGTCCACGGCTCTGTATGAAGTCTCAGTTTGAATAGACTGTGTACCTTTTTTCTTTTTTAAAAGAAAGTTGAATCTATAGTGATATATTTTCTAGAAATGAAGATACCACAAATTGGTTGAGTTTTGTCAAAAAATTTGTGAATATAATCTTGATTTTTTCGTAGTTCTCTCCTTTTAAAATACTTAGTTTTTTCTCTTTAATATTAAAACAAATAAATGGTATTATAGTACTCTTATAGTTGATTGTATCTAGAAATAAAATTTTAAAATTTGTTTTTTATTATAGAAGAAATTTTGGAATCCATAAGAGCCAAAAAGGGAGACATTGATGATGATAAAAGCCCAGAAGAAATAGAAAAGGACAAGAATGAGGCTGAGGATGACAGCAGTAAAGATGCGGAGGAAAGCAGAGAGGAGTTTGAAACCCCGCCCCTGGGGAAAGACAGTGAGGACAGATCACCGGATGACGACCTGGAGCAAGGAAGATCTGAGGGTAAAAGAATTACTTGGTTAAAAAAGAACTATTTTACTGGCAGTATTTATGAACCCACCAATTTGCAAAATGAAAGTGAAAATTTTTACTGCAAATCTTAACTTTTTGTTTCTAAGGAGATTAGGATACCCGCCTCCCTTGTAACACGCATAACAGCTGTGATGACTTTTATGTACTGATAGATTTGTGACAGTGTTACACTTGTATCTCTGCTTACACTTCTAAGAAGCTGCCTTTCCCTGTGAGATTTGTTGGTGAAAAATTACTGTATTCGTATCAGGATATACACTTGCATGTGATAAAGTATGTTCATTTTTTATTATGTAAAACATTCTTAATATATAAAACACTCTGAAATCATCTTTGGATTATCTATTGCCAAAAATCCCAAGATCTAATTGCTTCTGAATGGCCATCAAGTGAAAGCAGGTTTTCTTGTGATTGATCAGTTTTAGTAGTTGGTTGAATGTGGCCATTTGTCCGAAAGCAATTTTAAAGAATATCTTTAAAGTTTTGTTGTGCATTTTGCTGTAGAGCCAGCAGAAGTTGGGGATAAAGGTAACTCTGTGTCAGCAAATCTTGGCGACAACACAACAAATGCTTCTTCAGAAGAGACTAGTCCCTCTGGAGGGAGCCCTGTGGGGTGTCTCTCAGAAACCCATGATAGCAGCAACATGGCAGAGAAGAAGGTGGCATCCGAGCTCCCCCAGGATGTGCCAGGTACAGAGGGCCGTGTACCAGTGCCTCTGTAACGGGGGCCCTTCCCTGTGTAGTGAAAGCTGAGTGTCACCTGAACTTCAGAGTGTGTGTCCATTCACGCTGCTTGCTCACGGGGCCATCCCTGATCGCCACATCCCACCTAACACGGGAAGTTCCATAATGTCCTTGCAGTTAGTGCTTGCAACTCATCATAATCCTCATGCTTTTTACACTTCATTTAGTCGTTTCTACTGAGTAGACTTATTGTGTAGTTTACCTCCGGACCCATAGTGGCAGATATTTTGGTTTCGTTACTTACATATTAATGGCTCGATGTTGGATGAGTTGACCCTTCCAGCTCTGTATATACTAACAAATTAATTTTGTGTTTGCATGTGCCCATGTAGCTTTTACATTTCAAATCGTAATGTTATGACAGCAAATCCATCATCACGAAACATTTTTGCAAGGTATATTTTTATGTAAGTTAACTAGTTATTCATATGTTAAGCGTTTTAAAATTAAAGTTACTCTAAGTAGATTATGTTACACCAATAATGTTGTGCCATTTTGCTTTTTTAAAAATGCAAATAGTTTTATGGTGGGAGTTTATATGTGTTTTTGAAAAATTCCGATGAGTAGTATATTTTAAACACTAGCAAGCTCACCAGAAACCAGGAGGCATAGTTGAAGGCAGTCTTGGGAAGGTTTGTTTCTACATGTGTATCAGCTGTTTCCAAGCTGTCAGTGTTTGCATCGCCGCTCCTTACGTCAAGGTACGAATCTGGCGTGTTGGAAGTGTTAAGTCTTTGGAAGACCTGCATTCTGGGTCCACTCCTGTCATTAAGTGAATGTCATTTGCTCTTTTAAGAACTCCGTGTTCCTGTTTCAGAACTGAGTGATTTTGACAACCAACAGTTTTTCTTCTGGAGGCTCCTCTCACCTGAGTACTTGTCAAGAGTGCGCTGTGTGGCTGAGAGCACCAGGAGAAGATTAGGTTACGTGTAAAGGCGTATGTGCGGGCTCCAGAAGAATCAGGCTACCAGCAAAAGTCCACTGTATTTACACTGAGAGAAAATGGTCATTAATTAGGGTGAAGAAAAGCCTGGAAACTCTGCCATCTGGTGAAACAGACTAAAAAACAAACTCATTTACCTAGAAATCAGTAGGCTTAGCAATGAGAAATAATGTATTTGTCCTCCAATATTGAGGGGCTAAGTCAGAAGCAGGGAGCAGAGAGTAGACTGCTTCTTTCATGCAGGGCACTAAATCAGATAAGTAGAAATTACAGCAAAGAGGATTTTAAGTAAATAGTAACTCTTTCAAAATTGGACTTGTTTGGGAAATAGAAATAATAAACTTGCTTTCACTATAGGCATTTAGTAAATTGCTATCAGAGATTATTTCAGTGAGAGTCCTTTGTTGAGTGGAAAAATTCAGATAACTATACATTGTTTCAAGAATTTCTTTCTTTTTTTTTGAGATGGGTTCTTGCTTTTTGGACTCACACCTGTGGCAATTGTCCTGCCTCAGCCTCCTGAGTACTGGGATTGTAGGCATGCACCCCCACACCCAGCCAGGATTAAAATTTTGAAAGTGGAGTACTACTACTACCAAAATAATGTGAAAAAATTCTTTTTTTTTTTTTTTTTTTTGGTCTTTTTGAGACAGGGTCTCACTGTGCAGCTCAGGCTGGCCTTGAGCTCACTTTGTAGCCCAGGCTGGTCTCGAACTCACAACAATCTTCTTGCCTCAGCCTCCCAAGTCCTGGGATTACAGGCGTGCACCACCATGCCTGGTTTAAAAATTCATGTTTATTGGAACCATGATTATATTCTTCTAATTTAAAAAAAAAAAATTCTTTCTCTCTTCCCTTCTTTATTTTTGAGGCATGGTTTCACGTACTTCAGGTTGGCCTTGAAGTTACTGTGTAGCCCAGGCTGGCTCCTGCCTCAGCCTCCTGAGTGCTGGGATTACAAGCGTATGCCACCACGCCTGACCTGGTTATCTTTTTAGAGTAATCAATCTTCTTTTCTTTTTGTCTTTTTGAGACAGGTTTGAAGAGTTAGAAGCTTCATAAGAAAAGAATAATAAAGTGAGTGAAGTAAGTTAGTCATCCGTTTCCTGACTCAGTAATTAGCCAGTATAACTGATAACAAGTGAGATCTCTTACTAAACATTGCCATTGAAGTGGCATTTTCATGAGTTTATAAAAAACACAGGTATGTGGTAACCTGAACAAGAAGTTTTAAGGAAGCTGGATGGCAGCAGATAGCAATAGCCAGAGCTGCCGTCAGCATGGGCTTGGGGGAAAGTGCTGTGTGGCTGAAGACGCTATCTCCTTAAAAAACAGAACAGCCAGGCATGATGGTGCATATCCTGTAGCCCCATCCTGTAATCCCAGCACTCGGGAGGCTGAGGCAGGAGAGTCATGGCGAGTCCCAGGCCAGCCTGGGCTACATAGGGAGACCCTGTCTCAAAAAACAACAAAAACAGACTCATATCCAGGTATTTTCCTATTTGGTTCCCAGAACATGAAAAACATTTCTAAAGATGTATGTTGGATACATCATACCAGGGTGTTGTGTTGTGTTTTTTGTTAGTGTTGCTGTTGCTGCTGGGGATCAAACTCCAGGCCTCACGCATGCTGTACCACTGAGCTGTACCTCAGGCCCTAATGCTCATGTTTAAAGAGGAATTTGGTTATTTTTATCAAGTGAATAAACATTGCAAGACGAGTAGATATACTCGTGACCACAGTAAAGTGGGAGCTGTCGGCGGCTTTGCATTCTCGGGTGGGCGATAGACAGCCGGCACACCAGAGTTCCGACCTGAGAGGGTCTGCTCTGCCAGCTGCTGTTTCTTTGGCCCTCTGCTCTTACTTATTAGCAGGTATTTACTGAGTCCTGCACCGTGCCTGACAGTGTGCTAGGCACTTGGTCCTTAAGCCAGTCTCTGCTGCTCAAGCACTCTTGACACCGGATAGTCAGTGGAAGAGAGGCATTATTAAGAGAATGGGGGTGGAGGAACTACTCTCGACAGGTTAAAACAATGCCATGATAGAGAGTTTCACTTTGTTTTCTCAAGTTTCAGAGTGTATTTTGATACCTGATTTAATAATTAAGACTTATCAATAAAATATACTGTCAGATTGGAAAGTGTTTTAGGGTGGAAAGTTCTTTTGGTGAACTTACTCATTGAAGTAAAGCACACAGATAGTAAATGAGCAGCTTAGTGGATTTTTACAAAGTGAGCACGCCTGTGTTACCACATCATGCAACCACCAGGAACACGCACCCCCACAAAGCTAGTAACAATTTTGTCTTCTAATTCCAGTTGGAGTAACGGCATTCGGGGGGGGGGCATTCATTATATAGATTGTCCTGATTGATTGACTGATTTATACTTTGCATATGTTGCTAATCAGTTTAAATGGTTTCTAGCGTTTGGACCATTGTGAATTTTTTTTTTTGAGATTGGGTCCTGCTATGCAGTTCAGGCTGGCCTTGAGCTCGCTTTGTAGACCAAGCTGGTCTTGAATTCACAATGATCCTCCTTCCTCAGCCTCCCGAATGCTGGGACTGCAGGCGTGCACCACCACGCCTGGCCGAATGAATATTGCTGAATATTGTGAATATTTGCATTATGAATATCACTTTACATCTGTTTGTGCACACATACAGCTTCCTAGAGATACGAACCTACTTTTGGGTTTCCTGGGTCATCCAGTTTGTATGTGCTCAATACATGCTGTGTAGCAGTCTTCCGAAGGGCTTGTACAAGTTTGCACTTCACTAGTAGTGTGTGAGAGTTGTAGCTCCTCTGCGTGCTTGCCAGCATGGTACGGCTGCCGTCACTTTCCCGTTCGGTGGGCTCTTGAGGAGCATTCTTGTGGGCAGGTGGGGCTATCTTGCTGTGGTTTGTGCCTTCATTTCCTTGATAACTAGGATGCTGAGTACCTATGTTTGTGTTTGTGTATATAAAAGTATATAGGTCATTTGAATTGTCTCTGTGGTGAAGTACCTATCATTTCCTTTGTTCATTTTCTGTTAAATGGTCTGATTTGTTTGTTTATTTGTAGTTGTTTCAGGAGGAGAGTAAATCTAGTCCCCTTACTCCACTTTGACTCGAAACAAGTTTCTGCATTGATTTTTTTTTTTTAAATGTTAAAACAGTCTCATATGCATGGAATAAATACAACTGAGATACTTTTTTCTTACTTAGCAATATTTGATTTGCTGCTTCTTTTTTTTTTTTTTTTTTTTTTTTTTTTTTTTTTTTTTTTTTTTTGTTTTGTGGATGTTTTTCCTCCAGCTTATTAACATGTCATATTGTCCTTATTATAAAATTTGAGTTAAATAAAGTTTATTATAAATAAAGTTAAAATACATGGTTTTTTTTTTTTTTTGAGACAAGGTCTCACTGTGTAGTGCAGGCTGTCCTTGAACTCGCTTTGTAGCCCAGCCTGGCCTCCAGCTTGTGGTGCTCTTCCTACCTCAGCCTCCCAGGTGCTGAGATTACAGGTGTGCAGGTGTGTGCCACCATGCCCAGCTAAAATATATTTTTAAATTTGTGTTCTGATGTGGGTTTTGGGTTTTTTCCCATTGCTAGTTAGAAATACATTGCTTAATATTCAGACATTCGGAGGTTTTCTTAATTAACTTTTTAAAGTTGATTGTAATTTAACCCTCTGTAGAGAACATCCTTTCCGTGACGTAAGTCCTGTAAGATTTCTTGAGGCTTATTTTATGGCCCAATATTTGGTTAATGTTAAGTGTCCCGTGTACCCTCAAAGAGCATATATGTTTTTAGCTGTTGGATGGAATATAAATAAGATAATTAGGTCAAAGTTTTGATTGTGTTGTATTCCATATCCCTTGCTGAGGTTTGGTTTTGTGCTGGGTATTGGACCCAGGGCAAGTGAGATTCCTGAACTCCACCTCTAATCCTTGTCTTCTTTAATTTTTTTAAAATTTTTGCATTACACAGTTTTGAGGCTGTGCTGTTAGTTGCACTTGATA